GATAATTAACCGCTGACGCAGCGTCCATAAAAAAAACAGGATGTAGATCGAAATTGGTCACAGAATTCTCAAACTAAAAAACCCAATTCGAACCCAAAACCTAAGAAACCCAATCCAAATTTTGGATTGGCCACCCCTAAAACAAGTTACGTCTAGAAGAAGTAACTTGGCGTCAAAGAAATAGCTAGGTCTTTGACTAGCATTTTTTGGTAAAGCGCAGCACGGATTCCGAAAAGTCTTTGGTATCGTGTTTGCTAGAATCATAATAAAGTTTTGGCACTTGGTTCCAGAGAAACTTCCATCGTCTGGACAAGATCATTATGGCCACCAGTTCTCTTGTTGGAAGCCATGAGATTATCTCAGTGAGCTTCTGGTCAGGCAACTCACTACTCATACCCATCACGTACATACTACTGATTGGTTTTTCCCTTTAGGTCAACGGTAAATAATGCCAAGAAGAGAAAAACATAAATTCCCTTTAGGTAATATGTATATGTCCCCATGTTTTAAGGAAACAGAGTCCCAAAACCACCAACTAAACCTAAATAATTTGCAGATAAATCCACCAAATAAACACTATTCTGGCCCGGCACTTGTAAAGCGTCAGAGATCAGCGACGGAAGGTAAAAATTGTACCAACTCCATAAATGCTTATTCACAGAATCGATTTGTGTTGAAATTTTGTTTTTCCTCTCAAAATATTGGCAGCTTGATGTGGCTGGCTTTGTATTGATAGGACTCAGTTCTTTAATCTGGAGACCTCTATGAGTTTTACTGTAAAGTCGCTGATGTTGATGGCAGGCCTAGACAGTGACTATCTAAGGTAGAGACAGTGACTATCTAAGGTACTCTACTATAGTTTTACAATTTGTGAATGTGAATCTTCCTTATGCACAAGGAGATTTGGTGATATATTTGACACTATATCAATAGCTTGATTACGTGACAAAGCTATTTGAGCTGGTGAGGTTTGTTTACATAATGGTTTCTTCACTTTTATAAAAGACTTATGATATAAGAACTGAGCTGATAGGTGGAGCTAATGTCTATATTCAGAGAAAGTGTTGGATTCTGACAAAGCAAGAGCTGAATCTTGTGTGGACACCAGTAAAAATATTACAAACGATGTCGAAGGTGAAGTTTTTTTTTTTTTTTTTAGTTTGCTTTTCATTTTACTGGTATGGGTGTATTCTCAATGTTGTCTTTAAAAAACACTTTTTAATGTTCCTTGCGGTATAAGTTTTATTGCTTGATGCTTTCTCTACAGCTTTACTGAGTACCCGAAGGAACCTCTTGGCACAGCCTGATAGATACAAAAATGTTACCTGGTCTAAAAGGGTTCATAATCCCTTCTTTGCAAGACAATTTGGCTTCAAGAATTGGACTTAATTAATTATAATTTCTGGTTTTGAAAGCTTGTTGTGTGAGCAAAGGCTTTTCTTTCATGAAAATTCCTGGATATGATATTAATTATGGATTTTTATTCCTCTATTGTTCTGTGTTTAGGATATTTATGGTCCTCTCGGAGGTAAGTTTCCTACAAAACAAGAGAAACACATGAAGGCCCGAAAAACACGATGGATGAGTGTTTTCTGATGGCTCTCCGACACTCAAGTCAGAAAACAGTAAAAGAAAGATCACGGAGTGGCAAATCAGAGAGAGGAAAGGAAGATCGAAAAAAAGAAAAAGAAAAGTGCCGAGAGCTCTTAGGAAGAAACAAGTCTACGGACCTAATTTTAGTGGGTTCTTTCAGGTAGAACAGAGAAGAAGTGTAAGAGTTTGGGGTAGAAATATTCCACGGTTTAGGAACTGCCGTGGAATGGAAATGAAAAAAGGGTCGGAGTGATGACCGGAAATGAGAGTGCTAGACCTTTGAGTTACGAGGAAATGGTTGGCCGTAAGATGGAGGTAGGAACACTTCTGTTTCCCGCATTAGCAATGCTGTTCTTAATGGGCAAAAGGCATACAAGAAGAAACTTTCTGGTCTTATTGCAAAAAATGCAGCTATAGCATCAAAGTCAACCCTCTGATAAATCCGGCGTCATATGCCATATAAATGACAGAAGATCAACATTTCCCTGCCAATCATAGGCTGGGAGATGTGAAACATCTAATCTGAGGGTTGACATTGATGCTATTGCTGTATGTTTTTGTGACAAGTCCATAAAGTTTATTCCATGGATCGGTCGGCAATGTATATTCGGCATAAAAGTTGACATACCCTCACGGAGTTGGAATAACCATTAGCTCTAACATAAAAACAACTATTAAAAAATTCAAGGAATAAGAGAGCGTACAAAAAAATTCAGCAAAAAGAGAAAGCACATAACGATGAGTGATGTGCACTAATCAAGTAATTTTAAAACCCTAATGAAATCATGCATGTCACATTAGAATTTAAGAAACCCCATATTTCTTCGATCAATCAAGATTCTTGTATGACAATAAAATCAAGTAAAAAGAGAGCACATAAATAAATTCAACAAAAAGAGAAAACACATAACAATGAGTGATCTGCACTAATCAAATAACTTTAAAATCCTAATGAAATCATGTATTACTGTACCACAAAAAAAATCAAAAAACAAAATTGATAAAATGATCAAAGAGAAAATTAGAAAACCCTCGAAGGAATCAACTTGATAAAATGTGTACAAAGAATGTACAAGATACTCAACAGTTGATAACTGTGAAACTACTAGTAGATATACCCGATGATTTAATGATTCTAACCCTTTAACAGCTAACGCTAAGATGGTGATCTGAGCCGTTTAGAGAATAGGTCTAACCTCTTAAAATTATGTGATATTTTTAAAAAATTACATCTAAAATTAAAGTTGAATTGTTTACACGTTGTCTAAGCAATGAATATTCACTCGTAAGTGATTTTTTTTTTAAATTGGAAATTCATTCAGGGTTGTTGATTATACTATACTAAAATGTTCAAGACAAAGCCCAAAATTTTTGCACGTTGAATAAGGAGAAAAAAATGAGCAAGTAAATTAGGAAGTCAATAATAATGAAGATTAAAAGTGTCTATAATTCATGGTTTCTGTTTTGGATGAAAGTTGTAAATTTAAAGGGGTTGCTTGGTAAGGACTGTGACTTTTTACTATTATTTCTAACTAAAAACTTTAAAAACTTAAAATTTTAAAAACAAACAATAGTTTAAGAAAAAATAAAAGACACAATTTCTTAGATTTTGAAAGAAAAAACTCTAGCGTGACTAAAACAAAGAGAAAATTGGAAATTTAGGACAAAAAATGGAGTACATTATATTGTCCTCTTAGTAATTTTTTATGTTTTGGTAATTTTGGACAAAAATAGTCTTTCAAATACTTTTAATTTTTGAAATAAATATTTATATCTATCAATAAACTTTTACTGATTTGTCTTCGTTCTAGTGAATATAGAATCCATATTCTACCAAACGGTTAATAGAATCTGAGAAAATCTAGGATCAGATTTTATCCAACAAAAATTAAATAATTGAATATATATATATATATATTTGTTTTCACGTTTCTAACATATTTTGAAGTTTTTTTTTATTTTCTTCTTCTCCTTCACGACAATTAAAGTTTTTCTTTGTTTTGTGTTCTGGTTATTCATTTATGGTGCATATCTATGTTACATGTGATATCTAGAGATCGATTCTCAATAAGGATTGGGTTTTTGCCGTCAATGAAGAAAAAAGAGGTCGATTAGTAAAAATATTACTCAAAATCATGTGGTGCATATCTATGTTAATTGAATGTATAAAAATTACCCAAAATCATGCGATTTTGTATGGTGCATATCTGTGTCACCTGTGTATATAGCTCAGGCTGTATAAAAACTTACCCAAAATCAATTTAGGATTTTAATCCCTAATATGGAGATTTGAATGAAATGGAGATTAAAGAGGCTAACAATTGGATGAGGAGAGTGACGAAAATCGACGATAGCCTCCGGAGAATCAACGGAAAAGACGATAGAGAAGTGTCGGAGAAGACGATGAAGATAAAAGTGTCATGTTCTTAATTTTTTTTTCTTTTCGTAAAGTCATGGTTTTTTTTATAATTTCAATTCTTAAATAATAATAATAGTTAAAAAGAATATATTAATATCACATAAATCAATTTTTAAGGGTAAAAGAGGATTACCCTTAATATAAGTACTAAGAGCATCTCCAACAATGCCCCTTATTTTAAAGGGAGCTGACCCTTAAAATAAAGGTTTGAAGGTGAACTGTTCCAACAAGAACCTTTAAATTTATCATTAAAAATATTTAAATATTACATACTAGTCCTTAACATAAACAATAATTAAATAAAATGATAAAAATAATATAATAGATACAAAACATACTTTAAACTAAAATGTTACATAACATATTAATAAATAAAATATTACATGATAATATAAATAAATAGCAATAGTTCATCTATAAACTAAATAATAAAATTACATATAAAATAATAAATTATTAAATAAAACTATTTCCAGAATGCTCTCATATATAATCAACCAATGCATTTCGAAGTGATAAATGAGCTTCTTTGTTTTTATCTGTAGATTACGAGCCAAAAATTGTTGAAATCGGATATTTTCGTTTACTTCTATTTCAATTGTTGTTTGTGGTGCTGATCTCGCTTCTCTAATCGGCGCATTGCCATCACGTTCACCCTTGATAATCATGTTATGCATTATAATGCATGATGTCATTATATTATGTAGTACCTCTTTTTTCCAATAACGTGAAGATCCTGCTACGATTGCAAACTTTGATTGTAGAACTCCAAACGCGCGTTCAACATCTTTTCGACATGCTTCTTGTCTTGCTGCGAATAATTTTTTCTTTGGACCTTGGAGATTACTTATTGTTTGGACAATAGTTGACCATTTTGGATAAATGCCATCAGCTAAATAATAATCCATGGTATACTCTTTTCCTTGAATAACGTAATTAGCCGAGGAGCGGTACCTTGAGCAAGCTTTGAAAATAAATTAGAAGACTTTCAAACATTGATGTCGTTGTTGCTTCCAGGCATACTAAAATAGGCATGCCATATCCATAGATCATAATCTGCAACAGCTTCAAGAATGATTATGGGTGATCCGCTACGACCTGAAAATTGTCCTGCCCATGCAGTCGGACAATTTTTCCACTTCTAATGCATGCAATCAAGACTACCCAACATTCCAGGAAATCCACGTTGTTAGCCGATATATAGAAGCCTGGAAACGTCTTCTTCTGTTGGTGATTTGAGATACCACTCCGAAAATACTTCTACAATTGCGCGACAAAATCTTTTCATGCACTCAATTGCTGTAGACTTTCCTATTTTGATGTATTCGTCTGTGGCATCAGCGGGCAAACCGTAAGCTAAAATTCGAATAGCTGCAGTAATTTTTTGCAAGGTTGACAAACCCAATCTCCCAGACGCATCACGTCGTTGACTGAAGTAATTGTCATGTTGTTTAACAACATCAACAATGCGAAAAAATAATCTCTTTGACATTTGAAATCGACGATGAAACTCTCTTTCACCATAAACAGGATTATCAGAAAAATAATCATTGAACAAATTACGATGTGCATTTTCTCTATCACGGTGTATAACTGCGTGACCAGGAATAGAGCCTCGATGACTTACGTGATTATTTTCTTGAATTAGTCAGTGAATAAGGCGGTTGTTATTGATTAACAAATTGACTGCAATCTGTTCTTCTCTCTCCATTGCTGCATTTTCATTCATCAACCATTCACCAATTTCAGATTCATCTGATGAGGAAGATGAATGTTGAAAAGAATAAGAAACTCCAATATTAAAATTCATTTTGAAGTAAACGAAGAAGTGGTGATATATTGTTGGCATCCATTGGGTATATTTATAGATATAAGTGTTTCCATTTAATAATATAAGAAAATCTTCTGAATTTAATTTACACAATTCATTCAATTTCACCTATCACCAACCATTACGTACATTGAAATCCCACCAATATCTTATCCAACAAGAAGATAAGAAAATCTTGAGAATTTAGTTTACACTATTCATTAAATTTTACATATCACCCACTTTTACATACATTAAAGTCCTCCCAATATTCTATCTAATAATAAAATAAAAAATTCTTGAGAATTGAATTTACACCATTCATTAAATTTCACCTATCACCAACTCATACGTACATTAAAATCCCACCAATATCCTATCCACAGTAAATAAAATCTAAGAAACTAAATGTTGGCCTCTCCTTTAAATTCTTATCTATCCATTATTGTATAAAAATAATAGACTTTAACCATTGAAAAAATCACACTTCCACAAACTCACTCTGTTCTACAAAAAAATATGGAAATAAATAGAGGTACATCATTCAATCAACAAGAGGATGAGCTATTGTGTCATGTGTATTTAGAAATATCACAAGACCCAATAGTCAGCAATAACCAAGCTTTGAAAAAGTTATGGGAAAAAATAAAAGTAGCTGTAATTTAGAAATATCACAAGACCCAATAGTCAGCAATAACCAAGCTTTGAAAAAGTTATGGGAAAAAATAAAAAATAAAAAACATGAGAGTACAATTCTTTATGCTGTAAGGAATTTGAAGAGCTGCATAATTCAAGTGGAGAATATGCATCCAAGTGGTGCATCTGAAGATGACATTGTAAGTACATATCCAATTAGTTCATGCTTGTTATTTTTTCTACTTTGTTTATATATTATATTTTTGTATGTATTAAACAAATTTTCTATTCCAAATATTTTGCAGATGGATAAAACAAAAAAATCATTAGTCCAAGATCACAAACTTAAAAAAAGTTTTAAGTTTGATCATGTGTGGGTTTTGATGAAGGATATTCCAAAGTTTACAAACAATGTCAACATCAGCATTTCACATAGTCCTATTATTGGAAATGATAGCATCGGCTCTCCAACATCACATTCACCAGGGGCATGTTCATTTTCAATCAATCTAAAGAATGATGATGGTGGATCAAACTCATCACAACGTCCCATTGGACCTAAGAAAGCAAAACTCAAAAGAAAAATTGCTGAAGATAATGATCCATCTGTTGACACTTTGGTTTCATCAACTGAACAAATTTTTGATTTTTTAAAAGATAATGCATCAACTAGGGGCAAAGGTTATGAGATGACTCAATTATTTATCCAAAATCAAGCAAAAAAACTAGTCCTAAAAGAAATGGAGGAGGAAAAAAAAATATTGTTAACAAATTTAAGTTTTATCGATGAAAGTAATACACGTGAATTTATTCGTTCTGAAAAAGCAAGAATCATACAAAAAAGAACTCAAGAGCAACAACCTTCGATTGAACCAAATCTATATGGCCAATATTTTGGTAAATTTGGAGATTCGGGATCAAATTTACATAAATATTAGTGTAGTTGTGTAATTTTATTTTGTAATATTTATGTATGTTTGTGATTTTATTATCATGTAAGAAATTATTATTGTAGTGTAATTTTATATTTTGCTGTAATTTATGTAATGTAATATTATTGTTATGTGAAATTTTTTATTGTGTTATTTAATATTTTTATTTTATTTTTAATTAAAGTTTAATGTATTTATTTATTTATTTTAATATTGAACAGCTAATTTTATACTGATATATTTGAAATAATTTTGAGGTATATAATTATGTGGACTAAAGTAAAAAGGACAACAAATTTATTTGATTATTAGTAAGATATATGAATTACAAGGAGTAAAATGAAAAATAAAAAATATTTTAAGGGGATAAACAGTACCCCATTATATTTGAGGGTTCACTGTTCAACCCTTTAAAAAATAAAGGTTTGATGGTCTGTTGGAGACCAAAACCCCTTAAAATATAAGGATTTAAAGGTCTGTTAGAGTTGCTCTAAGGGGACAATTTTTTAAAAAAAAAAATACTAAAAAGACAAAAATCTCTATTTTGTGTTTTAAAAAAAGTACTAAAGGTCTGTTTATTTTCTCTAAAATAAATGAGTTGGGCTGTGAGAAAGTTTAGGAGTTTATTTAGGACTTAAAAACATATAAAGTCTGTTTGGATAATTTTATTTTATTTTTGAAAAGTTAAAGTCTTAAAAGTCTCTACCAAACAGCCCCAGATTTTTTTTTTTGGTATTTTTCCTGTTAATTCATACATAAATTTTCAATTTGATGGTAAATAATGTGGGGGTTATTGGTTTATGTATTTTAATGGATTTAAAAAATCTAAACCAAATCCAGTATTATATAATTTTAAAATTCACTTTTAAATCTAGTGTTATTCAATCTTGTGGATTTACTTGTGGATTTGATTTCAGAGAAGATTTTAGTGGGTTTGGATGAATTTTTCTATTAAAAATACAAAGACTCAAATCTGAGATAAAATCTCCAAATTTGCTCAAATTTATAAAAATAAGGGTTATTTCTAAATTCTATATGGATTTTTTTTTTGTCAACAGCCTAAGTACATAGAACGATTCGGTAATCCAAACTGTAGATACCGAATTTACATTGATCATATCTTGAAGGTAGATCTGTGCTAGGTTATCTGTTTTCGTATTTTTCGCTCGTGGGATAAGTAAAATATAGAAAAAGGTGAAAACCTCCTTATTCTTCAAATCAAAAATTGACCATTTCTCTGGTGTAGACACTATCTTCACCAACTCAGAACAATCTATTGTAAATACTACCTCCTTCTTCTGATTCACGATCATATAATGCATAACCCATATTAGAGCTTCCAACTTCTTTGTACATTTCTTTCTCTCATGTTAGCTGTTTCGTTCTCCTCTTTTAAATAATACCACCCTAATTTGGAGGATCCATCCATCTCCTTCCAAGAGCCATCAACATAACACCTCCAATCTGTATACTGAAGAATTACCAAATCATTTCTAATAATGGGGACCTAAGAGGATGTACAGGGTATCATCCCGAGTTCATGGCCCAAATTTTAAGAAGAAATCCATTTAAAAAAAAAAAGAAGAATGGGCCAATTTTGGTGATCTGGTATCTTCCAGACGAGGCTGAAGAGCCGGTATCACGGCCACATGGCGGGCTATGATTTGTCTAAAATTCGAGAAGGGTTTGGGGACAATTTTTTGTTTCTCATCTTTCATTTTCTTTTCTTTTCATCCCGACACTCGTGTCTTCATCTCCGAAGGCAATTTTTTGGCGATTCGAAGGCTGATCGGAGAAATCTCGATATCAATCGGAGTAGAGCTGTTCCGATCATCGCATATCCATCAGAGCATCCAGGTAATACTTCTTCCTCCTTAATTTTGTTCGTCGTGAAACCAATTTGGGAATTTAGGGTTTCGAATTTTGCAAAATTTTTTAGGGTTTTTTCGTCGATTAAAATTGGAAAATTTGAATCGATTGTTTCTGTGTGCGTGTTCGTTGTTACCCTTTGTTGTGTGCGAGTTGATTGCATGTGAATTTGAGATAAAATTTGGTCGATCAAATTAAGGTTTAGGGTTTATTTTGGGGGAATTTTTAGGGCTTTTTCTCGGGGTTAAAATTTGGGATATATGATCGATTGTTATGTCCCTGCGTTTATGTGTAACCATTTTGCGAATGATTGTTCATAGAATTGGTTGAAACCTGGATGAAATTAGGGTTTCCAAAATTGGGGATTTTCGAATTGTGGGAAAATTTGGGGGTTTTTGCTGGGGTTGATTTAGATGAATCTATATGATTGTTATCTGCATCCGGTTACTCGATTATAATGAAATGATTGAGGATTATGAAATGAGACTTGATGAGGTTGGAATGATTAATGATGATGATGATGAAATGATGATATATAGTTTTGCGTAGATAGTATGATTGATGATGATGAAATGATGATGAGTATTGTGTTTGGTGTCCTATTTGATTGAGTATGATGATTGAATGTTAATGAGTATTGTGTTTAGGGTATTTGGATTCATCTTTATGATAGTAAACTATATGCTTTTGATGATTGATATTTATAATGAAATGATTGACGATGATGATGTAATTATGATGATGCTTTTGTTGTATCTATATGCTTTTGATCTATATGCTTCTGATAAAATTATGATGATGCTTGTGTTGTATCTATATGGTTTTGATTTATATGTTTTTGTTGTATCTATATGCTTTTGATGGTTTGTAATGATCGTTTTTATTTTTGACAGGGAGAATGCCAAGCTACAGCGAGTCATCATCCGAAGCTCCAGACCCGGTGCCCTACTGGGCTTATGCGGATGCCACTTATGGCATCCCCGAGAAATGCTTCTGTGGCCTTCGAATGAAGATTGACACAACCCAAGCTGGACGCAAGTACTATACTTGCTCGGACTACTTGGATGAGGTATTTCATATTTGTTTTTGATGTCTATCTTTATTTATTTTGCTTTAATTATCTACTTGGATGAGGTATGTCATATTTGTTATAGTAGGTTCCTCCTGAGCACATGCACCACTGGTGGGATGACGCGGTGACAGAGCAGTTCACCATCCTCGAGCGCCGGCTTGAACAGCAGAAGGAGCTCATTCTGAGTGTTGATCGGCGTACAAAAAACTTGGCCTTGGGAGAGGTCCGTGAAGAGGTGGCACTGCTCCAGGAAGAAGTTAGAAGATTGAAGGACTACATTGGAATACAAGGTGACAATTTCTCGATGTTGCTATTCATTTTTGTTATTGCTGTGATAGCCTATTTGTTTAGGTATTAGGAAAACCCTTTTCTAAGCTTCGTAATAGTATTAGTATTAGGTTTAAATGGTCAAATGCTCACTTAGTATTATTTTTTGTGAGGGTATTTGATGGAAGAACGGATACATGCTTTTGGGGCTTTTTAGGGTGTCTCCGATTAAATGTAAGTCCCTAAACTCTCTTTCAATAAATGGCCTGATTGGTTTTGTTAACTGGATTGGTTGATTGATAAATGATTCGTTTTGTGAACTGGTTAGGTTGTTTGTTTGATTTAGTTTGGGTTTAGTCACTTTGTAAATGGTTCGCTTTGTATTGATAACTGGTTAGGAACCTAGTTTGCTTTAGTTTGGTTTAGGTCACTTGTTGAATGCTTCTTCAATTGATTGGACTAGTTAGGTGTGATAAATACCACTTAAAAGACTCAAAACAAACACACAACCATAATTTTAAAAATACTTAACTAAAATACTGAAAAGCAAAAACTTAACTACACTCAACCATAATTTTTAAAAGCCTTAACTACACTAACACACATGCTATCTTCTTTTATTTACTTCGTCTCCTTCATTCAACTTCGTCTCTTTCATTCAAATTCGTCTCTTTCCTTCACTCCTTAACTTCGTCTCTTTTATTCACTGCTTCTCTTTCATTCAAGTCCTTCACTTCTTCTCTTTCATTCAAGTCCTTCTTCTTCGACTTTTGTATTTCCTTCTTCTCTTTCATTCTACAACCTTTTGTAATGGATTCTCAGAACTTTTTTTCTCAAAACCAAGAAGGCTTTGTCAACCTTCTAACTAGTCAACTAGGTCATGACACCTACTCGCCGTGTATAGAACTAGGATCATCAGACATTCCTATGTTCAGTACACATGGATCTGATGATCCTATTGTGAGTAAAGTTATGAAACAGTGGACTCTGAAGGAAGAATTGGTGCTCATTAGTGCCTGGCTCAATATGAGCAAGGACCCTATAGTGGGGAACGAACAACGAGATGGTGCCTTCTGGAAGAGCATCCAGGATTACTACAATGCAAGCCATGATGTCGCTGGACTTCCAAGACGAGAACAATCTCAGTGTAAGCAGCGCTGGGGTCGTCTCAACGACCAGATATGCAAGTTCGTCGGTTCATACGAGGCTGCACAGAAGGAGAGGACAAGCGGGCAAAACAACAATGACGTAATGAAGGCTGCGCATGAGATATTCTTCAACGACTATCTCATCAAGTTCAGCCTCGAGCATACCTGGAGGGAGCTCAGACATGACCAAAAATGGTGCACTAGCATGAAGTCTGCTTCCAAGGATGGTGAGAAGGCAAAGAAAAGGAAAGTTGAAGACTCGGCTCACTCCTCAAGCTCAACAACCAGATATGCAAGTTCGTCAGTTCATACGAGGCTGCACAGAAGGAGAGGACAAACGGGCAAAACAACAATGACGTAATGAAGGCTGCCCATGAGATATTCTTCAACGACTATCTCATCAAGTTCAGCCTCGAGCATGCCTGGAGGGAGCTCAGACATGACCAAAAATGGTGCACTAGCATGAAGTCTGCTTCCAAGGATGGTGAGAAGGCAAAGAAAAGGAAAGTTGAAGACTCAGCTCAGTCCTCAAGCTCAATACCCGATGATGTAGGCGTAGAGGCTCGGCCGCCTGGTGTGAAGGCTTCCAAGGCGAATGCTAAAAGGGCAGCCGGCGTGAAAGGTGAAGGAAAAGAGGTGAAGGAGTTCAAAACTGTGTGGGAAATCAAAAAAATGGACTTGGAAATGAAGGACAAGATTACTAACAAAAGGCTTCTTGACAAACTCTTAGCCAAAACTGAACCACTAACTGAGAATGAAATGCTACTTAAGAACAAGTTAATTAATGATTTGCTTCTTTGATGTTTTAATTTTTAAGGAGTATGCACGTTTGTTGTTTGCTTTATGTATCCGACTTGGAACTTTTATTTTAGTGATGATGTCTTCCTGTTTTTAAGTTGACAAGCTTTATGTATCAAGTGTTTAATGTATGATTTGCTGATTTAATGTATCAACTTTGTGTTTTCAGCTTATGTTTTAAATTTCTGTTTTTTTACTTGGTCGCTGATGTATCAACTTGCTGATGTATCAACTTAATTTGGCAGGGTAATTGTGTGAGATGCACTTGGCCACTTGATAGATGCGAACAAAAAGGATGGCCCATGGCTTTTTGTATTATTGTATTCCAACCGTTAATTTGCTTCATGTATTGTAGACTATATGTTGCGGACATTTTTTGTAAGCCACATATTATGAGTTTCATTCACGTATAAATCTCGTGTGTGAGATGAACATCACTTGTATCTCAATTCAGATTTGGTTAAAGTCTTTCTCTTGTTCCATCTCTTGTTCTATCTCTTGTTTTATCCCTTGTTCACTCTTGTTCACTCTTTTGTGTAGCAATATCAAAGAGAAAACATTGTCTATCTCCTTTACCATAGTCTTAAAAACTTGTTTCTATATCAAGTACATAGAAACAACAAAATCAAACACTCTATCTCGTTCATTTAAAACCAACAAAGATCAAACACTCTATCTCTTTTATTTGTCTATCTCTTTTTTCTCTTTTGCCAAACACTTATCTTTTTTTTTTTCTAAAACCAAGCAAATCAATATCTTTCTCAATCTTTTACCAAACACTATATCTTTTTTTTTTCTTTATCAAACTATCTTCCTCTTTTTATTTATATTATCAAACTCTATCTTTTACCACAAAAATATTATGGCATCATCTTCAAGCAATGGGCCATTTGATGATTCAATTGATGATTCATTTGATGATGCATTGGATGATACTTTTGATGATTTATCAGATCAAATGTTTGATGCAGCCCTTAATAGTCTTGCAAAAACAAAAACCAAGAAAAAGAGAGCATACATTGAAAGAGAGCGGGAATAAGGCCATCACCGGCTCTGGAACGACTACTTCAGTGATGATGCAATCTATCCGCCACATCTATTCCGACGCCGTTTTAGAATGAACAAGGAGTTGTTCATGCGTATAGTTGACCGCCTCTCCAATGAGATTCCTTATTTTTAACAAAGAAGAAATGCTACTGGGAGATTTGGTCTATCTGGCCTTCAAAAGTGTACTGCAGCTATTCATATGATGGCTTATGGTACGGCAGCTGATGCGGTTGACGAATATCTCCGGCACGGTGCTAGTACAGCATTGTTATGCTTGGAAAATTTCACTGAGGGAGTAATAAACTTGTTCGGCAATGAGTACCTCAGAAGACCCACACCACAAGATCTTCAACAACTCCTCGATATTGGAGAGGTACGGGGATTTCCCGAAATGATAGGAAGCATCGATTGTATGCATTGGGAGTGGAAGAATTGCCCAACCGCATGGAAAGGGCAATATTCACGTGGTTCAGGAAAACGACAATCGTCTTTGAGGCAGTAGCATCACATGACCTGGATATGGCATGCATTTTTTGGACCTCCAGGTACATTAAATGGTATTAACTTTCTTGATCGTTCACCAGTTTTCGATGATATTTTGCATGGTCGAGCACCAAAAGTGAAAATTGGGTCAACGGTAACGAGTATCGTTTGTCGTACTACCTCACAGACGGTATTTATCCGAAATGGGCAACATTTATACAATCAATTCACCTTCCTCAAGGAGCCAAAATAAGTTATTCGCAACATCTCAAGAATCCGTCCGAAAAGATGTGGAGCGTGATTTTGGAGTTCTGCAAGCTAGATTTGCAATAATTAAAAATCCAGCTCTTTTTTGGGATAAAGAGAAAATTAGGAAAATTATGTGGGCATCTATCATATTGCACAATATGCTAGTTGAAAACGAACGACATTGCCACAGTCAATACAATTTAGAAGAATTTGAACAAGGTGAAGGAAGCAGAAATTCGCATGTCGATATGACGTATTCTACGAATAATCCTTCAAATGTCAGAAATTTGATGATGGCAAAACGAAATGAAATCCGTAACAGACAGATGCATGATCATTTGAAAGCGGATTTAATCGAAAATATGTGGAATAAATTTGGTACTTCTTCAAAGTACAATTAAATGCTTAAAATTATATATTTTATCTATTGTATGTTTTTTAATTACGTGTAATAAATTGTATTCTTGTTTTATAATAATTCTGTGTTTAAAATTATCTTTAAAATTAAATTTTATAATTTCAAAAAAAAATATTATTATATTCGGGATGAACCTCATTTTGGGTTTCACTAATGAACCTCAAAAAATGGCACAGGTTCATCCCTCAACCAAAAAAAAAAAAATTAATATTTTATTCTAATGAACTCCATTAGAGGGGATCACTAATGTACATGGTCTAAGTTTAGATCCCTCCTCCATGCCTCTTCCATATTGTTGCTTTTGTTATACCTATTTTCAATCTTATTTGTAGGTCTCTATTAGTATTGAATTACACCTTGTCAATCCATACTTCCTATATGGATTTCTACATAAATGCATACTAGGGCGCTATTTGTTTTCGCTCGGTTCTATGGACATGCTTGGTAACTATTTTTACTTTGAGCCTTTACTATAAAATTTTGGCTTTAAAAGCTGTACTGTTATTATTATTATTTTTTTTAAAAAAAGTTGTTTAGTAATAAAAACTGTAAAAATTAACTGTTACATTTTAAATTACAAATAATTTTTAAATTAATTTTTTTTTCAAAGAAATGGATCTCAAAAGAAAGCTGAAAAAAAGAAGATTTAATCATTTAAATTTAGTTCATAATTACTTCTATATAAATGTACAAAGTCTTTTTAATGATTTTGGAGAGAAAATAAATAGAAAAATAAATTAAACATATTTATTTTTATTAGTTTTTGTGTAAAAGCTCATCTTAAGTAAATTTTAGGATCCATGACCAAAATGAAAAAGCCTGACTTTTAGGACTTTAAAATTAAAAAAAAAAAGTCTTTTTAAAAAATCTATTTTATATAAAATCAAAGTACATCAAGATTACATAAATAGCAACAACATATAAAATGAAACAAAGAAATAAAATTTAACAATTATTTTCTTCTAGAAAATTTTACTCATAAATAGAATATTCATCCTTCCCTTCCTCAAATTCGCATACAATCTGATGCGATTTTCATCGTTGGCGTTAATCCAGTGTTTCCCTTGTTATATTACATTGACCCATTTCCAATTAGGAGCTAAAGATGTTCGTCGAATTAGAACCCAATTTACTGATTCTTTCGATCGAAGTAAAATATGAGACTGCCAATTTTCAACGACTGTACGAATGTCGGCATACAACAAAGGTTCTTCCGCTCCATACTGTCCTACTTTCCATAGTGGTTTCCATGGTAGTAAACCCTTATTCAGCAGAGTAAAATCACCAGAAGAAATCGAATTAGAAACAACAGAAATATATAATTTTCCGAGATCTCATATTCGCCGACCTATACACCAAAATCTTCTTCGTTGATAAATTGACCGAAGATTTTTGTCTCCCTGGAATCAGAAGGCTGTCCATCAAAGAAAATTGATTTTCCTGTGCTGCCGCTACACAAACTTCCTCTGGAATAGGCACCGGCATATCTTCAGCACTCAAGTTAATCTTTTGAGTTGCTCTAGATTTATAGATCAGAAGTGGTTGACGGTTAAACGACATATAGTCGTCATAGTGGCGTATAGAATCCACTATGGAGATAGAAGGCGTCACAGTGAAACCATATCGCAACCGTCGCACCGCAATGCCAAAGATACATGAAGCCATTCTCAGGATCAGAATCCATGGAATCGCCAAATTAATTGCCGTTAGAGCAATCAGTGAAATCCAACCGAAAAAATGTGAAAATTTTGGAAAAGAATTTGATGATAACTAATACTAGACATTCCAGTCACGATGACGGTAGAAAAAATTAGTATTAAAACCATCAGATCCCTGCAGAGATCCTGTAATCAAACGAAGATTGCAGTTTGATTGTAGTTGCAAATGAAAAAGAAAAGAATTGCACAAGGAATCGCACGAGAGAGAAAACGGTTACTTCTCATCTGTCACTCTATATTATACTTTTTGGTTTAATAAAAATAAAAAAGTCTATTTGGCAAAAAAAAAAAATAACACTGTGAAATGGGTTAAACAGTCTCTACAGCCTACGTCAAGCAAGCTTATATATGTTTTTTTTTAAAAAAATTTAATGTTTTTTTCTCATAAACAAAACGATGTCTAACTATCAGTTCTCCGTTGGTGTCAATACCTTGCTGCGATTTCGCTATGAGAGACTTAGAGGTTTCTGCGAAGTTTGTGGAATGCTAACCCACGATACTGGAGCCGATGTCCACCCTGAGCACGAGCATATGGATGAAGATGATAATGGAGACAACCAAATGGAAGATCATGGTGACAATGAAGACAATGCTGCTGAAGAGGATCAACAGGAGGACGTTCATGGGCCAGAGAATGGCAACCAGGAGAATGACACTGCACAGCCCCTTAATGCGGAGATGGAAGATCCCCCAGAAGAACTGACGATGGATCCAGCATTAGGACTTGAAGACTATGAAATTGCTATGATTCCTCGCCTTGGAATGGAGGAAGTTGTCCGCAGAAGCCGTTTCATTAACAATCTCCTGGTTCAATGCGATGCTGATGATTCTAATGAGGGCAACTCTAACTCTGAAATGCCGCCTAATAATGGAGAAGGGTGTTGTGCAATCTCCAGTGGCGTCAACTGAAGATGAAGGATAGTTCAGTGAAGGTCCATTAATGGAGTATGGTTCGTTTTTGTCTGAAAGTGAAGTTTCTCAGTCAGAGGCTGGTTCTGCTCCGGTTAAGTTAGGTAAGAGAGCATTTATTTCTGAAGTTTGTCTTGATGGTATGGAGAATGATGATGCAGGTCAGAGTCCAAAGCGTTTGTGTCTAGAGACATCTCCGGTGGACATGCATATGAATGGCGAAACTTCTGCTGATGGTAATGCTTTGCTCAAACTTCAGGCCGACTACGATGACTTGGTGGAAGCGGCTGACGCTTCTTCTCCCCAGTTCAGAGGCACAATGGGCCCGAATCCACCACCAGTCCCATGAGAGTCGAGGTGTGGAACTGTCAGGGCTTGGGACAGCGCCTCACAGTTCGACGTCTCAGGGAGATGCAAAGAGTGTATTCTCCAGACCTGCTGTTCTTGGTGGAAACTAAACATAAGGACGACTATGTTAGAGATATAGGTGCACTGTTGGGCTATGAAGAAATGTGTATAGTATCGCCTAGGGGTTTAAGTGGTGGTTTGGTTGTGTTCTGGAAGCATTATGTTTCTGTTTCATGTATTTCCTTTGATGCAAGACTTGTAGATCTATCTATTCAATATAAATCCTTTAGTTTCTACTTGTCTTGTGTTTATGGGGATCCAGTACCGAAACAGAGACATCATTTGTGGGAAAAACTTCAACATATAGCAACATTAAGAAATGGACCTTGGATGATGTGTGGGGATTTTAATGAAATCACTGACTCAACTGAGAAACGGCGAGGTAGAACTCGGAATATCAGTAGCTTCAAAGATTTTAAAACTATGTTTAGTGTGTGTGGAATGAAAGACCTGAAATCGACAGGCAATCCTTATAGTTGGGTGGGTCGCAGAAGAACAGAAGTGGTGGAATGTTTTCTGGATAGAGTCTTTGTAAATAGTGAGTGGCTTAATTTGTATCCTGCATCAGAAACTGAGTTCTTGGAATTGGCTGAATCAGATCATCGTCCACTAATTGTCTCTATTTTACATGAACCTATGCTTCGACGTGGATCCTTCAGATATGATAAGAGGTTGTTTTACTCTGGTGATTTTGCAGATAATGTGAGGCAATCTTGGGAGCAAACGTCTAGTGCAGAGAATACGATCACCTCAAAACTGTCATCTTGTCGCAAAACAATGGCTAAATGGAAAAGACGCAACCGCACAAACTCTTGTGAAATGATAGAGATTCTACGTACACAGATTGAAGCAGCTATTCGGGATCACACTATTCCAGTTGAAGAAATTCATAGATTAAAAAAGGAACTTAATCAAGCTTATCATCAAGAAGAAGAATATTGGCGGCTCAAAAGTAGAACTCATGGCTTACTCAAGGGGACCAGAATACACGTTTTTTCATGGAGTAACTAAAGCTCGGAAGGCTAGGAACTGTATTCAGAAGATTACAGATACAAATGGAATCATCCACCGCAAGGATGAAGCAATTGCAAGTGTTGCTGAGGATTATTTTCGAACATTATTCACCACTACTAATCCAATGTTTTTTGATGAAGTTTTCCATGGCATTGAACAAACAGTTACAGATTCCATGAATAGTGATCTGACGGCAGAGGTAACAGAAAAGGAAGTGAAGGATACTTTATTTCTCATTGGTTCGGATAAAGCACCGGGATCAGATGGTTACACTGCGGCTTTTTATCAACAATTCTGGCCAGAAGTAAGCACGGATGTCTGTTAAATGGTTCGAGGATTTTTTCAGAATAATCATATGAACCAGGTATTAATCACACAAATATCTGTTTGTTGCCTAAAGGTAATACCCCGGAATTCATGACTGATTATACCTATTAGTATATGTAGGGTTAACTATAAAATCATTTCTAAGATAATGGTGATGCGTCTTAAGAAGTGTTTGGGTTCTCTTATATCTGACTCTCAGGCAGCTTTTGTTCCGGGTAGAAACATCACTGATAATATTTTAGTTGCACATGAACTTGTTCACGCTCTTAAGTCGAAGAATGATTGCTCCGAGAATTATATGGCGATTAAGACAGATATCAGCAAAGCCTATGATAGGGTGGAATGGGGTTTCTTGGAAAGAATTATGCATCCCATGGGGTTTGATATTAAATGGATCACTTGGGTAATGTCTTGTGTTACTACAGTCTCTTACTCAGTCTTAATCAATGGTGTTTCATATGGGCATGTACTTCCTTCAAGAGGTATCCGGCAGGGGTGCTCATTATCACCTTATTTATTTCTGTTGTGTGCAGAAGTTCTCAGTCAGCTTATAGCATGGGCACAAAGGAATAATCTCTTTAGCGGCATGAGGTTAGCAAAGAACTGTCCTACCATAACGCATTTACTATTTGTTGATGACTCACTCTTTTTTTGCAAGGCAAACTATGCTAATGGCGAAGAGTTGGCTTGAATACTTAATGACTATGAAAGCATCTCTGGTCAAAAAGTCAATTATACTAAATTTTCTATCATATTTGGAGCACGTATACCTGAAGACCAGAAAAGCACAATGCAAGATATATTGGGAATAGCACAGATTGGAGGAGAAGGAAAATATTTAGGTTTGCCAGAGCAACTGGGTAGAAGCAAGGTGGACTCTTTTGAGTTTGTTACGCAGAAGCTAAAAGATGCCATTGGAGGATGGTACAACAATTTCCTCTCCCCTGCAGGTAAGGAAGTTCTAATCAAATCAGTTCTTTACTCAAAACCGATATATCCTATGAATTGCTTTCTGATTCCTAAAATGATTTGTGATGAGATTAATAGCATCATTTCTGAGTTTTGGTGGGGCACAGATGATGGGAAAAGAAATATCTCATGGATAGCATGGAAAAGATTGTCATTACCTAAACGAGAAGATGGTTTGGGATTTCGGGATGTCCATAAATTTAATGTGGCGTTGTTGGCGAAACAAGCCTGAAGAATACTTCAGAATCCTTCTTCCTTGTTGCAAGACTATACCAAGGCCGTTATTACTACAGGTCGACATTTCTTCAGTCGATGTGTGGATCACAGCCTTTGTATGGATAGAGATCAATTCAAGCAGGGAATCACTGCTATTGAAAGGTTTATGTGTTCAACTTGGGGATGGTAAATCGACTAAAATATTCTCTGATTTTTGGTTACCCACATCACCTTTGAGATTGGCTCGTGGTTTAGGGTCTTATCAGGATTCATCTGTGGCAAGTCTATGGGTAAAGGGAAAAAGAGAATGGAATCACGCTTTGCTAGATAAGGTATTGGTACCTGAAGATGTGCAGATGGCCAAAAACATCATTTTATCTAATCATGCCAGTTGTGATCGTCACATATGGAACTACACTGATAATTCACTTTACACGGTTAAATCAGGTTATTGGCTTGCAACTCATTCTGATTTATTTGATGATATTATCATTCCTCCACTGGGTGATTTAGATTTAAAGAAATCTATTTGGCAGCTGGATGTATTGCCAAAAATAAAACATTTTATGTGGAGAGTTATTTCAGGGGCTTTATCTACGGCAGATTGACTTCGCAGCAGACAAATACCCACCGATCCTCTTTGCCAAAGATGCTGTCAAGATGATGAAACTATAAACCATGTCTTATTTGAATGTCATCATGCAAAAGGAGTTTGGATATGTGTAAGCATTCTACAATTTGATATGCGATCAGCTTGTTTGGAAGATAATATTCGGACTCTTTTCTCAATACATAGTCTTCCAGGAAGTAATGCAGAGGTAAAATTACTGCCATTTTGGACGTGCTGGAATATATGGAAGTCCATAAATGAATTCTTATTTCAAAAAAAGAATATTCATCCGAATGAAGATGCACAAAGGGTCAAAGACTCGGTAAGAGAATGGATAGATGTTCAAGATAATGCTCGAAATGACTGTCTGCCTACAGCAATCATACAAAGGAATCGGTCATCTCCATGGGAACCACCACCATATGGCTGGCTGAAGTGTAACTGCGACAACAGTTGGAAAACTGAATCTAATATTACAGGCATTGGTTGGATAGTAAGAGACTTTTCAGGTAAACATATCAGTTCAGGTTTTTCTTCATGTTTTAAAGTTAATTCATCATTAGAGGCTGAAGCAATGGGATTTCTGCATGCCCTTCAGATAATATAGACTAAAGGATGGCGTCAAGTTTGATTTGAAGGGGATAGTCTAAAGTTGACTCAAATTATCAATGGCCAACAATCGAACCGGGAACTTGGGAATCTTCTTATTGACATAAGATATTGGATGACAAAGTTAAAGGAATGCTCTTTGGATTATGTTAACAGAGAAAAGAATAGTGCAGCTGATTGTTTAGCTAAGCGGTGTTTCATGTATCTATTTCTTCTTCTTTTTTTGTCACTCCACCATCATGGTTGGATAAATATTTGTATTACCCATTTACTATCTAATAAGTAATAAAAATAGAAGTAAAACAAAAAAAAAAAACGCTGTCGCTCGGTTCTATATATCGACTTTTGCAATGTGTGTAACTTTGCCTATTGTGAGGTTGGAATCTCTGTGCGATTCCATTTCAGCAGCTTTTGGTGATATAGTTCCAGTCACCGGTCAAAACTCTAACCCTAACTTCGTTTGATCTCGCCGGAAACTTTTGCTTCGCTTCCTTCCTATTTCTCCTCCTTCGTCAATAGTTTTGCACTTTGATCACCTCCATCACTATTGGGCTCCCTTCCGGCATCGGATAATTGTCGGCAATTTGATTTGCTGTAATTATAAAGCTTAATTGCAATTTCTTCCCCAAAATTCGTGATCGATGGATGACTATTTGAGCGACGAGGAAGAAGATTACTATTACTCCTCCGATCAGGAGTCTCTCGACGGGCTTGATAATGAAGAATCCAATTTGCATCCTGTTTCTTCCAGAGGAAACACCGCCAAGGTATGCACTTAGTTTCGCCCAATTCTGGCTTAAACTTGTGTTTCCCTTTCCTCTTGATCTTCGTTTGCAAAAACCTTTCGTGAATTTTGGATCACTTAGTTGAAAATCTCCGTTCTGGTATCACTTGTTCTCCGAACTTCTCAGTTTCTCGACTTCATCCGTCTGTATACTATTATGAATGATGAAATTTACTGGAAAAATTAGAATGTTCTTCTCTTAGTTGAAATTTGGGTTTTCTGTGGAACTATACTGTGGAAAATCAGCTGAATCTGTATAACTAATGTGAAATTTCATTTCGTAAATGCTGTGAAGAATTTGGAGTGGGGGCATTACTTCAAGTAGAATAAGCTTTTCATGTTCACAAGGTTCATGTATTGTGACAAAGCCTGGGCTTGTTTTGTTTTCTAATCGTTTATCAGCATTTTTGTAGGTCATTACGAAGGAATCGCTTATGGCAGCACAGGTGAAAAGAGAAATGATTCTTAATGATCATATGGTGTGGGTGTTTTCTTTCTTTTGGTTTGAATTTCAATCCTGTTTTATCAATGCAGAGGGAGGATTTGCGAAGAGTGATGAAATTGTTATCGCTTAAGGAGCACCATGCTCGGACTCTTCTGATCCATTACCGATGGGACGTGGAGAAGTTGTTTGCTGTTCTTGTTGAAAAAGGGAAGGATAGCTTGTTTTATGGTGCTGGTCTTACAGTTCTTGAAGATCAACGTTGCAATTCTTCCTTTTCTCATTCTTCGATGATGAGTTGCGATATCTGCATAGAGGATGAACCGGGTTATCAAATGACAAGAATGGACTGTGGCCATTGCTTTTGCAATAACTGTGAGTCCCATGCTTTGGTTTTTATATGATATCTTGAAAGGATGTTGCGTATTGAGTTGTTGAATTGATAGAATACATGTTTGGGCACCTAGAACATGATTTATGTTTATCTTTAAGCTAAAATCAGATGATTGGTTTCTTAATTAACTATTTTCTTTGGTTTTTCTTGCTTTAGGTTGGGCTGGGCATTTTGCTGTAAAGATAAATGAAGGTCAGAGCAAAAGGATTAGATGCATGGCTCATAAATGCAATGCTATTTGCGATGAAGATGTTGTCAGGACTCTAGTCAGTAAAAGCCAACCAGATTTAGCCGAGAAGTTTGATCGTTTTCTTATTGAGTCGTACATCGAAGATAATAAAATGGTGAAGTGGTGCCCGAGCACACCGCATTGTGGGAATGCAATACGTGTTGAAGATGACGAACTTTGTGAGGTTGAATGCTCCTGTGGCTTTCAGTTCTGTTCTAGCTGTTCATATCAAGCCCACTCCCCTTGCTCTTGTTTGATGTGAGAGCTATGGAGGAAAAAATGCCACGATGAGTCCGAGACAGTTAATTGGATAACCATTCACACAAAGTCGTGTCCCAAATGTTTCAAACCCGTTGAAAAGAATGGTGGATGCAATCTCGTGACTTGTCTCTGTGGACAATCTTTTTGGTGAGAATTTTAACCTTGTTTCTCAATTGTTTGCTCTGATTTAAAGCGAACATATGTCAGTTGGTGATGAATTTCTTGTTTGGTTGTTACTTTGTACAGTTGGTTGTGTGGTGGAGCTACTGGAAGGGATCACACTTGATCTAGAATTTCGGGTCATAGTTGTGGTCGGTACCAAGAAGCAAAGAGAAGCAGATGGAAAGAGCGAAACGGGATCTTTTCCGGTATATGTATTACCATAACCGTTACAAAGCCCATGTTGATTCCTCCAAGCTAGAGGATAAACTAAGTGATACTATCCTCGAAAAGGTGTCTATCTCATAGAAGAGACAGTTACAGCTTAAAGACTTCAGCTGGGTTACCAATGGGCTTCACCGGTTATTTAGATCAAGACGAGTTCTTTCATATTCATACCCTTTCGCGTTTTACATGTTTGGAGATGAGCTGTTCAAAGACGAGATGAGCTCTGAGGAGTGAGAAATCAAACAGAATCTGTTTGAGGATCAGCAGCAGCAGCTTGAGGCTAATGTTGAGAAACTTTCAAAATTCTTGGAGGAGCCCTTTGATCAATTTGCTGATGATAAAGTCATGCAGATAAGGATTCAAGTCATCAATTTGTCAGTTGCGGTCGATACCCTCTGCAAAAAAATGTCAGACTTGTTATTAATTACTTAAAGATATCAAAGATTGCTATGAATGGATATCGAAACTGACATTTCAAGAAATTTTGGTTTTCTTGCAGGTATGAATGCATTGAAAATGACTTGCTGGGCTCTCTGCAACTTGGTATCCACAACATTGCTCCATACAGATCAAATGGGATAGAACGAGCATCCGACTTCTACAGTTCCCGGAATTCAAAAGAAGTTGTTGGTGAGATATCACAACCTTCGAACTGTGGTACAAGCGGTAAATCTTGAAACTAAACTTTACATCATTTGGTATTTTGTTGGACATTTACAAAGCAAATTGTCTGATAAGAGTTACTAACACATCAAGTACCACTCTTTAATACAGGATGGAACTCAGAAGACACAAGTTGCTCTTCGAGGAAACGTCCCAGAATATACGGAAGTTTCAGAAATAACCAAACCACATTACTGGATTTAAACTTGCCAGAGGAAGTCATCGAGCGGAAATGAACTCCTCTCCCCAATAACACCCTTTTTGGTCCAAATCATACGGAAATATATAGCTTTTAACCCAAACCCCTCTGCTTTACTTTTTCCTTTTTCTGTCATTGACCTGACCCTTCCCGGTTCTGAGAAAGAAAAGAAGGGTCAGTCTGCTAATCTTTTTTTACAAAGTTTTAATCGGTTTTCAGAAATGGATCATAATTTTTTGGGAGTTTTATGTAAATGGCTTTGAAGCTGCCTTTGATTTCAGGCTTCTCTCAGCGTCTCAAGGTGTAAATTTATAAACCATGTAGTGATTTGCCTTATTGAGAGGTGGATCGTTCCTAAATATGATATGACTCTTTTGTCTATATGAAATCTCTTATGCTTTATCTTTAAGAAGGTATGAGATTGTATTTGGGACGATGATAATGTTCATGCTTCTACGGGCTAGCTCAACAATAGAATTCTGCAGGTTGTTATGGTCTTACCCAAGGCTATAGGATTGTTTCTGGTTCAAGACTAATCAGAGTGTATGTTGTATATTAGACAAGTCTGGTTCAAGACAAAGCCGATGAAGTAATTTTGTAGTTACTTAGGGTAGTCCTCAAAACAATTTTTGTTTTATGGATTTGTATGTTAACTATTTGTAATTTTAAATTTGGGTTGGACCAGACTTAGTCTAATTAACACATTGATAATCTAAGAATTAAGGGGAGCTATTTCACTTAAAAAATCACTTTCTAAAACATAGGCTTTTTCAGAAAAAATTAGATGTTTTAATTGGCTTAAAAGTCTGGTACATTTTTCAAAAGTACTTAGAATCTTTTATAATTTATGTAGAAAATGAAAGGTTTTGTCCTCTTTGTGTTAAATAAAAAATTGTTGTCTTCTATCAATTTCTCTTTTGTTCTCTCTCTCTAAAATGTTGAAATGACAAAGCAAAAAAAGATAAAAAACAAAAATTGTTGAATTATTGTGGCCGTTGATTAAAACCGGGAAAGCAGCAACAGCAGAAAGAAATCTGAAAAATCTGAAATCTGAGTATTAGCCAACCACAATCACTCGACGACTCCAAATTAAAACTTGTCTCTTCCTCTTCACTAACTTACAAAAACCCTAACCCTAATTTTTTCTAGCCCCAAATTCTCCTTCACACTTTTCTTTTCTCAATCGCTGAAGATGGAAGACGAAGAAGGGATCGGGTTAATTTTAGCCAGAGCCACCGAGCTCAGACTCAAGATCAGCGACTGTATCGATAGCTCAAGCACCGCCGTCAGCGAAGACGGCGGCGGAAATGAGAATCCTTCTCCGGGAGAAAGAAAAAAAGACGAGAATATTGGGAATCAAGACAAGGATTTTGACTCAATCAGCTCTGCCGATGTAGAGGAAGAAGAAGAAGAAGCTGAACGGCTTCTTCGTATACGCGATGCTCTCGAATCCCTCGAGTCTCAGCTCGCTGCTTTACAGGTTCGAAATCCCTAAATTTCACTCTACTTCTACTGATCTATAGTTATTATTCTAGTTATGGAAATTAAGTTTCTGGCTAAGCATTGAACATTGAAAGTCTGTGTTTTTAACTGAGAATTGAGTCTGAATTTCTTCACTTTTGCTCTCTAAATTGCTTTTAGTCTCGAGTCACTGAATTTCTCCAGTTTTGCTGTAACAAGATCTTGGTTTTTCTTGCAATAACCAGAATCTTCGGCAAAGACAACAATACGAGAAGCAAGTGGCTCTCTCTGAGATTGATTACAGTAGGAAGATGTTGCTTGAGAAGCTCAAGGAGTACAAAGGCAAAGAATTCGAAGTACTACGCGAGGCTTCGACTTTCGCCGGCGAAAGAGTCGACTACGAAAATGATCTTCTTCTTCCTCCTTACCCTGTCCATCCTCCTCTCTCACTCGACAATGGCTACTTGCCTCACTTACCGTCGAAGCAGAAACCGGAAGCAAACGGGTTCGGTTCAGGAAACGCAAGAAACGAAAGAGAGGTGAAAAGTGAAGAAGGCTCTAATCATCATGGGGTTATTCGCTTCTTAGGCTCTGTTGCAAAGATCGTGCTTCCGATCATTGGTGTGATTTCTATCTTGTCTGCTTCTGGATATGGTCCAGAGATGAGGAAAAGAGGCGCTTCCTTGAAGCTTTTGAGATATCTGGGTGGGAAGAACACACCGAATCAATGCCCGTCGGGGAAAGTTCTCGTGATTGAAGACGGTGAAGCACGGTGTCTTGTCAAAGAAAGAGTCGAAATTCCCTTTGACTCGGTGGTTGGAAAACGCGATGTAACTTACGGATACGGTTGAATCGAATGAAAAAAAAACGCACCTTTTCTCTGTGTAATCTTCATTGCTCTGAATTCAAGTGTGTAAAGTTTCAACCTTTTTTAATCTCTTAGATGTGAAGAAGACAGGATGTTACATAACTACAAGAAGTTTTGTTCTTGCTTCTGCTTCTCAGCAAATAATCTTGGGCAAAATAGAGATCCATTTTGCATAGTCTCTGTTTTTTTTTTGCCATTTGATCAAAAATGGATTTAATGTATCACAACTTGCACCACTTGTGTGGATATTAGTAAACTAATGAGATAAAGCTTTTTATTGCGGTTTGACAAAAATTTGGTCAAACAAATCTAACTCTATCCATTAGAAACCATGTTCCATTACAGGACACAGCACATGGTTTCGTTTCTTTACAAGAAAACTTTATCTTGAACTTGCTTAACAAGAACTCTCTTGGATAACACAAAAGGGTCATTATCAAAAACTATATATACCATAGACATCTCCTAATTGAAGCAAGATCACAGTTTCTTATTGTATATTAATCATTCAGGTTCTGAGATATATGGGGAGTGAAGGAAAGATTGTGTTTACAGAAGAGCAAGAGGCTCTTGTGGTGAAGTCATGGAGTGTCATGAAGAAAAATTCAGCTGAATTGGGTCTCAAACTCTTCCTCAAGTAAGCCTTAATGATCTCTTTGATTCTTTTTCTATTTGTGATTTTGAGATATGAACAAAATTTTAATATGTAGGATCTTTGAGATTGCACCAACAACGAAGAAGATGTTCTCGTTTCTGAGAGACTCACCAATTCCTGCTGAGCAAAACCCAAAGCTCAAGCCTCATGCCATGTCTGTTTTCGTCATGGTAACTTAAATCAATTCAAAGAAAATCTCCATACTTTGATTTCTGGATTCTTTAACTAAATTTGGAGGGTTGATCAGTGTTGTGAATCAGCAGCACAACTGAGAAAAACAGGGGAAGTTACAGTGAAGGAGACAACTTTGAAGAGACTTGGGGCCAGTCATTCTAAATACGGCGTCGTTGCTGAACACTTTGAGGTTAGCCTTTGCCTCATATCTTAAATGTTCTGTATTGTAACTTTTAACTAAAACCAAAGTGCAAATGATGTAATTGCAGGTGGCTAAGTATGCATTGTTGGAGACGATAAAGGAGGCGGTGCCGGAGATGTGGTCACCGGAGATGAAAGCTGCTTGGGGTCAAGCTTATGATCACCTTGTTGCCGCCATTAAAGCTGAAATGAAGCCTTCTCCTTAACTTTATGATCACTTAAAACTCTGTTTCTTACCATTTTCCTGCTAAAGATGTGACTTTTCTTTTTTTTCCATTTATATCATACTGTTGCTTTCTGTTGTAGATGTAATAATACTCATTGATTCTAAAGATTGTTTTTTGATTAAGCACGAAAATATTTGGTTAGAGTAAGAACAAAAAATAACAGATTAAGATAAGTTATAAGTTGGTAAAATCATACTCCAAACTAAAAAAATGGATGGTTTAATTCATCGATAACTAAGACAAAACGAAACTGAACCAGTTTGAGTTCGATCAACATCCACCCAACCAAACCAAGCTATGGAAAATTGATCGAAATCAACCCGGAACAACCAATCCTAACCAGAACTAATCAAACTGAACCAATCACTACATTTGTCTTGGTATCTTGGGAAGACTTTCAAAGTGAAACAATGGAGGCTAACTCATTAAAATACTTAGAGAATTTGAGATTATTATCTTCTTCCGAATTACCGTGAATCATCAATGCTCCATCTTCAACAGCTTTAGAATCAGAGCAAGAATTTCGGTTCGTCAAAACACCATCCATCTCCAAACTCATCGTTAGACCTTCACCATTCATCTCATAATCTTTGATTAGGTCAAGATCCAGCTCTTGATTGGTATCAGAAACCGCTACGAACTGATTCTCCTCGAAATTCGCAGGTGGATCATCTTGAAAATAATTACTTGCACAAGTCGGTTGAAGAATTAGGGTTTGATCTGAATCAAGTTCTTGATGAGTTCCGTGTACAACAAGATCCTCATCCTTCTTCTTCATCTTCCTCTTCTTCTTCATCTCCTCACGCTTTTCCACAGTGGTTGAATGCAACCCCTTTAGATTATGCAACATCGTCGAAATCGAGTCGATCGCTTCACTCAATTCCTTCGTATCCTCTGACTTGGCAAGACGCTCGTCTTCCCACCAAAACCCTAACCCTAGACCTTCCTGATGAGAAGGAGGAGGCTGATTCTTGAGGAAAGCAGAGACGACGCTATCGACGGAGGAGTGACCAAAGGAGAAGAAGGAGACGGTGGGTTTGGAAGAAACCGGAGTCGCTAAGATAGCTACTTGTGCACCGGAGAGAAGACAGAGCTGGGAGGCTTTACTGTAAAGACCGTAACGGCGTTTGGTGAAAGAAACCGGTAGCGAATTTTTATTCTCTATCTTCTCAATTGAAATCTTCCTCTTCTTGCCTCCCATTCTTGTTTATTTTTATTTTTTTCCTTCTTGATTTCACAAACAGAGAGAAAGAGAGAAGAACAGATTTTTTGTTTTGCGTTTCTCTCTCTCTCTCTCTCTCTATGTGATATATAGAAAACTTTAAATGAGCTCTCGTTTCTTTCCTTTTTCTGACCTACTCGTTAATTAGATGATTAAGTACAAATGTTTTCCTTTTTTCAAAGCTAATTACTCAAAACCAACGGTAACGATGATATTAGCGATTGATAATGTAATTAAGAACATTAAACCAAAACCGGTTCACTTTAAGCTAGATTAATCTGGTTTAAGTGACCCGTTTAAATTTGGTTTACTGTTATATAGCTGGATTGACAAACTAAAATTGATTTTAATCTCTTTGGTTTACATAATTATAGTTTCGGTTTACTCTGTTATTTTTATAATAAGAAAAATTCCCCATACTAGCTTTTAAGGTTGATGTATTGACAAACTTAGCCTAACACATTGATCACCTTACTAACCTTATAAAGTTGGTGTTATACCATTTTGTCCAAATAGTCAATATTATTACGAGAATACCATTTTGATTTATTAATTTTAAAAAAAAAAATTGATTTTTTATTTTTTTTAAATTTTTTTTATTTTTTTTTGAAAAAAATTATTTATTAAAAAATGATTTTTTAGTGAAAAAAAATAAATACAAAAACAAAAAAATAACATATCTAATATGAAAAAAACATTATCTCTCTCATCTTCTTTCTCATCTTCTCTCTCGTTTCTCTCTCGCTTCTCTCTAACCCAGATCTGAATTTTTTTTTTGCCGCATTTCTTGATTCCGGCAGTGGATCACTCCTTTCTCGCCTCCGTCAATCACAAGAATCGTCCGATGGCACGAGTGCACCTCTCACATCCCTTTAGACAGCGATTTTGTCCCTATCATCGATCATTTTGTTTCCCTCGAGTCTAGATCCTTCCGCCTTCTACCACTGGACCGAAGACCATCCTCTGGTTCTCCTCCATTACTAAGAAGTCGCAGCAAGGCTCAATCGCTTGGATTTCTTGACGGCGGTGTAAGTTTTTTGGCGACGGCGTAAGTTTTTTGTAAAAACCGTAACCCTAATTTTTTTTTCAGATCAGTTTGGTAGATATATTTGGAGATCGATATTATATTTTTTTGGTTGTAAAGTTCATAATGTGTGATGGTAGATTTTTTTGAAAACCGGTATGTAGTTTGGTAGATTATTAGTTATTTGATGGTAGATATATTTAGAAAACATAATGTGGTTTGGTAGGTTTATTAGTTATTTGATGGTAAAATTATTTTAAAAAACGATGTTGTTTGGTAGATTTATTAGTCATCTAATGATAAACTTATTTGTAAAACAATGTGGTTTGGTAGATTTATTAGTCATTTAATGGTAACTTATTTGAAAAATGATATGTGTTTGGTAGATTTATTAGTTACTTATGGTAGATTTATCAGTCGTATATATTTGAATTTTATATACGAATGACAGTATTTGTTTATTTTTTTCTGACAGATTATGGGCTTTGCTATGGTGAACAAATCTTTGATGGGATATCCAGCATCGATCCGACATGTTTTACTATGAATTGTAGATTTGTATTTGGTAGATTTGTTTTGAAATAATGGTAGATTTATTATTAAATTGATGGTATATCTATATTTGAATTTGTAAAAATGATAATTAGATTTTAAATGATAATATTTTTGTTTTCAAATTATATTTGTCGTAAAACATTAACCCAGACATTTCACATTTTTACCATATTTGCAAGTAATGTTATTATTCAATTCAATTTATTTCTTTACTTTCACTATGATGTATATCATAACTGAATAAAATTTTAATCAAAACACATGACTAAAATCATTTGACATTGAGATGTTGTAAGAGTTTATGTAAATAGAGTTAAATGTTACAAATATTCAAAAATAAAAATCAAAAGATCATAAGTAAAAAGATGGTTATTACAGATATGACATATATGTTCAAAGTTAATATGAAAAGCAAAGTTATCTTAGGGAAAAGATATATTATAGAAAAAATATTCATGTTAGAAATTTTTGACCATTGATTATGACATCTATATCGTAAAGACCAATAATCATCTGTGATCGAATCACAGTTAACCGATATAATCTTAGCAAACTCATGCAAAGAAAACGTCAATGGTAACAAAACCAAGTCAAATATAATCATGGAACAAGTCTACCATATGTACGAAACCTGTTTAACATACGACATTCCAAAACAAGTCTACCACACCTCTGATTTTTTCGTAGATTGCAGAATACATTTAGGACAAAAAAGTAATTTCAATCCAAAAAGTCAAATGTCTGCCAAACATTAACAACTAAGTCTACCTCAAGCATGGAAAATAACTCTACCATAGAAACAAGTCTACCATAAGCACCTCAAATGTCTACTAGATCGAGGTTATCTTTGTAAATACCAAACTTAGTTAATCTACCACATGATTATTATAAGAAGTCTACCATACGTACAATAACTCTACCAGATTACATAAACTCTACCAAACTAACAAACAAATCTACCAACATTTTGTAAGTCTACTTCATGTAATTATTAATCTACCACAAACCTTAAGGAAATTTATTTTAAATTTAAATCTACCACAAAACAAACATATCTACCACAAAACAAATAAATCTACCAACATTTTTTAAGTCTACCTCATGTAACATATAATCTACCACTCACCGGAATGAATTTTAACTGAATTAAATCTACCACAAGCCAAACATATCTACCACAAAAGCGAAAACTCTACCAACTATATATTACTCTACCATAAAACAGATATATCTACCGCACGTATTGACAACCTTTTTCACATAAATCTATCGCTAAAGGACATAAGTCTACCAACTCATAAAATAAATCTACTTCATTGTCAATAAATCTACCGAAAAAGTCAACTATGCGAGAAAGTCAACGCTTTTTTTAACAAATCTACCAACACGTTCGACAAGTCTACCATTCATAACAACAAATCTACCAAAACATAATAAATCTACCTCTCATCGTCAAAACTTTACCAAGAAAAGTCTACCAACATTTAAAAACTCTACCAACTCTCGAATAAATCTACCATCGTCCTAATAACTCTACCGACAAAATTTTTGCGTTGACCAAAATTTCATAAGTCTACCGTCAAAGCTTGGTAGACTTATCAACTTTTCAGCGCAATAATCTGCCTACGTGGCATTAAAAAAGTAATGGCATTTTCGTAATTAGGTTTTTTTCGACAAATGCGAAAATGGTGTTTTGGGTATGCTAAGTTAGTTTTGTAAAAAAAATAAAAGTGCGTCAAACGAGTAATATAGATACTTTCTAAGGTTAGTGTAGTAATCCTCATTAATAAGAATGATAATTCTTCACAGCAAAAAAAAAGGAAATTTTTTTATAGCAAAAAATTGGAAAAGTTTGGTCATTCTTAAGCTTGCAAGTAATCGAATTGAAAGATCACAACTTTCTCCTCCACCGTGCGATCTCTTACCGTTAGTTTAATCTCATCGTACAGCTGAGATTGAACCTCGTCGTGTTCTCGTCGGCGTTGAGAAACTCCGACCACAAAGTCACAAGATTTTCGCTGAACGACATCATTTCATGGCCATCGACTCTGACGGCGCCGTTTTATACATTCTTTAAATACTTTTAACGAAATTTTTGAAAATCAATCCTAATACTCATGTAGCGTTTTTAAGCATGATTTCTAAATCAAGCATACACACAGAGCCGTGCCCAGAGTTTGGGAGCCTATAAGCGGTGTTTTAAAAAAACACCCCTATTAATCTATATATCATCGTCCCTAATTTATAGAAAATCAATTTAATTCATATAAAACAAATAATAATCATTAATTTTCCAAGTTCAAATAAAACTAATAATACATATAAATAATATAACATTATTATTTTCAAAATTCATAAAACTATAATACATATCTACAATTTTAAACATATTCCAATCTAAAATCTAAATCATATTTTTTTGAAGTTGATAAATTAACCAATTATTTGAGTTTTTCTTTAAATTTAGTATAAATCATAAATCAAACTAAATTTAAATTAGATAAAACAAAATTGTAATAAAAAAATATTTAGCAATTAGAACATATTAATTGATTATTTTGTTATTGTGAAAAGGATAAGTGAGTTGCGTAAGATTTCAATTAAGAAGAAAATAATAAATTTTTAATTTTCTAATTGTTTAAATTACTATATGTGTTGACTTAATATTTTTATTGTGTTGTTAAAATATTTTTTAATAAGTTATCTATTTTTACATAATTATTAATTTTCTACAAAGAATTTTTTTCTACTACTAACAATTAATATATTTAATTAAAAAATTGAGCACTTTATTTTTGAAAAAACAAATAAACCCGTAGGCGAATGTTTCTTTTTCTACTTCATAGACACGGCCTTGCATACACATTAAGCGTTTCTCTTTCTAATATGACTGATGCTGTAACATTATGTTCTAAAGATTTTCCTGTGCTGGTCTTTGTTTCGGTTCTGATTACTCCCTCGATCGTTGACATTTGGTGTCTCGGGTTCTTGTGTAGCGGTTCTGTGGCTGGTCAAGGTTTTTCATTGAGTTCGGTTGTGCGTGCGTTTGGTGTCATCCTGTCTCTGAGGATGGTTATGGTTTGTGGATCTCCAGTCCTGACTCCTGTGCCTGGCCAATTTCTGTAAGCTTGTCTCGGCTTGTCGGCTTTTGGGACTGTTTTAGGTAATAAATGCTGCCATTTTTCTGTCCTATTGCCGCCGTTGCAGTTTTGGTTCATTGGTTCTCGCTTCATCTCCTCAATTTGCTCCGTTGTGTGCGTATCCGAGTCTCGTTCTCATGATAATCCTTTAAGTATCCTTTTGCTATATGATAGTATTGCTCCTCTTGTGTTTTTGGTTACCGCTATGTAGTTCTTGTTCCCTATTTCTTGTATAGTACATTAAGCAATTTATATTGAATGCCATTAGAAAAAAAGAAGAAGATTTTTCCGTGTATTAAATTATGGAATTAGTGTTAAAGCAGACAATATTTGTTAGGAGATTACAGAAATTTCAGGATCAAGGAGAGTAATAAAAATGTAGTTAAACCGAATAATTTTGCTGTAATACATTAAGGATGATGATGATGAATGATGTTAACAATATCATTCATGATGATCATTACCATAGCATGGAATTTCATCCATTTTTATTTAATTGAATGTAAATTTATTCGTTCAAAAACTTTTGTAGTGCTGCACTTAGTCGATAAGTTTGACAAATATTATAAAATGAATATTTTATAGAGTTGTCCTTCATATAAGAGAATAAAACAAATATATATAGTAGTAACATATGCTAACACTCACACTATATATTCTTTCTTAAACACATAAGAGCATGATTATCGGGTATCTAGTAGGGTTTTTTTGGATAATTTTTTAATTTTTTTAATCAGCTCGGTTAAAATTTTTTAAGAGATGTCTCTTATTTTGAGACGATAACGGACAGTATCTTCCTCCACGTGGCAACTCCTGATTGGGTTATCAAATTGTGTGGTAAAAAAAATTTTCATTCTTTCCATCATTTTTTTCTCTGACACAACTTTTCATCTTCATTCTCTCCGTCAAAGACCCGACGCTTGAGGCGACCAAGACGGCATCGACGACTGTTCTGGTCTCTAACGGCATTGGGTCTTCTGCATCGGAGGATCGGTCATGATGAATCCACCGAAAACCAGCAGGTTTCTTCAAAACCCGAGAAGAGATCGTTCGCTGTCGCAAGCGGTGAGATGTTCATCGGAATTGCCTCGAGGCTTTTGAAGAGGTCCAATCAACGGATGTCTCCAATTGATGATGATGGAGACAGGATAGGATCAGTAATCGAGGACGAGATTGAGGCAGCGATGATTTGAGAATAGAGGGTTAAAGATGTAGAAGCGGAGAAAGAGAGGAGGGTCATTACAAGCCCTGGGTATAGTTTCTCTGCTGCTGGTCTTTTGTTTCCTTATCATCTTTGAGTTGCTCAGTTACTTATAGAAAATGGTTACATCAAGGTGTTTTCTCATGAGTTTCTATGTGTTTTATTTGAAATACAGAAAAGGGTTTGGTGTGTTGTTGATTGTGAGAATTGTGTTGTTTTGATTTTTCAGGAAACTACTCATTTGGCAGGATCTTCTGCTGGTGCTATTATCTGTGCTACGATAGCCTCAGGAGCCTCTATGCGTGAAGCCCTTGAAGCTAACAAGACTCTTGTGTAAGTTCCTAGGTACTTCTCTTCTTGAATATCAATCAGGTTCTGTGTTCAAACAGTTTCTTTCTGGGTGTTCTTGTATGCAAGATAGAGTTAGTGAGTGAAACACAAGACCCACCAGTGTTGATGCGATGATTTTCGATTTTAAGTGTCGCATGTGTTATAGTTGTTGATCCAATTTCTTGTGGGATTTAGGATGTCCTCAGAGATTCTATGGAGAAGTTACAGCCGGATGATATTCATATTAGGTCCAATGGCAGAGTATATGCATCAATGGGTTCATATGTTTGTGTATGCATCAAATTTCTTGTGGGATTTAGGCTGTCCTCAGAAATATCTGTTTGTGTATATGCATCAATGGGTTCATATGTTTGTGTATATGCATCGATGACTATCTTAATCCATTACAGCTAACCAAACTATTTTTTTTTCAAATGCAGCTTACGGAAATACATGTTAACAAGCGAGAGAAGTTGAACCCCTGAAGCATTAAATCAACTTGCGGACAAACCTGGTAAGCTTAAACCTTCTAACATGTTCATAAAGGCTTGGTTAGATAGGTTTGTTAGAGTTGGCATAACAGTTGGTAATAAATGCTTGTTAGAGTTAGATAATGGTAAGAAAAGGCTTGGTTAGATAGGTTTTGAATGCTCTTAGTTAGGTTTATGTCTCGTCGAAGTGGTTAGAGAGTTGATCAATGCTACTTTTTTTCCTTGATCTTCTTTAAAGAAGATGAGTTTTTAGATGTTCTTTATTAAGCAAATGACTGATCTCCGTCCTTCTTATCTTCTTTATGTCTCATCGAAGTGTTTGATCTCCTTCCTTCTTATCTTTTCTTTCGGCTCTTTCATTTCTTTCTCTCTTCACTCCTTCATTTCTTTCTCTCTCTTATTTCAGTCCATCTTTTCTTTCACTCCTTCATTTCTCTCTCTCTTGTATTCCTTTTTAATGGATTTGTCTTCCACATTTTCATTTTCTCAGCCCTTAAATTTTGTTGACTTGTTGAATAGTCAACGAGAACCTCTCCTTGATGATTCATTCGGTACTCAGTCTTGATAACACTGTATTTGTACCTATTTTCACCATTGATTTCAAATGCTTTTTCAAAGGTTTTAATCATTTTTAAAATTTTTTTATTATGATTTCTATATATTTGTAGTATCAAGGCTCCTTTCAGGAAACTTAGGAAAAATGATAACAAAATGGAAGAAATCCACATTTTCAGCTCAGAGTCAGACCGTCAGAAGTTCAGCCTCAAATGAAGATGTTCTAAGCGTCTGATCCAGCTCAAATTTAGAGAAAATCAAGACGAGACAACCAGCTTTCCATACCACTTTATATCACGAAGATCCAACGGTGCAATCAAAAGATACATGGAGAACAAGTTGACCCAATTCACCAGCCTCGGAAGATTCTCACCCGCGGGAAAACTACAATTTATCTGTGTTGGAAGACTTTCACCCACGGTGGACCTAATGACGAGCCACAAAGCCCAACATCAAAGCCCACTTCGCCATTCTTCTTCAGAGAAACCCTAAATGAGACCTGGAAGACCTAGAAGATTTTAGGACCTATAAATACATTTTTTAGCAGCCGTAAACGGGTGTGTGCTCCTGTAATAAGATTTTGAGCCACCAAACTTTGTTTTCTAGGGTTAGGCGATGGAGATGGGAATTCTTCCCCTGATCCATTGTTCTTTCTCCTTTTTATCTAATTAACTTTTCTGCATCATCTTTTGCATTCTTTCATGTCTTTTATAATTCCTTGCATCATGTAGATTTGTCCTAGAGAGTCAAGTTGTTTGAAGAGTCATCGATAGGCATACATATCGATTAGGATTTCTAAGTTTCTAAACCCATATTCTAGATCTCATCTCTTCTAAGTTGTTCGTATTGCATGAGCGTATATTCATGACCTATTCTCTGAGCCTAGGATCGATCAGAGCTGCGAGAGTGCTTTATCAGATCATCCATACCTAGCTTCAGAAGAACATAGTCGCTATATGAGTCGAGAGCTATCTGTAGAGAAGATGTGAGCAGACAAATTCAATATTTAATTCATGATTTTATTTTTGGCATGAAAGCGAGAGTTAATTGTCAGATCTGAGTGATTAGTTGATTAAGATGGCGAGAGTTGGTTAATCATACACATGTCTATTCTAGTTCCATGCATATCCCAGAAACAGATGAAGATAAATTGCCCGGAGGCTAATTGGAAACGCTTTGACATCGATTAAAGTAAACCGGAGAAGTAGAAATCCTCACCTATGAGTTTAGAGTCTATAGTTTGAATCGATATCCTTAAGATATTTTTTTAACAATTCATTTGCATTGCATCCTATTTCTTGTTAATATTAGATTAGGTTTATTTTAGGATTCTTATAAAAAAAACCCCAAAAATCCCATGAGTTTATGACTTTGCTTATTTCCCAGCTTGTTGTTTCTTGCAGACTAGACATCCTCCCTGTGGATCGACACCCTAAGTCCTACGACGTACATCTATGTACTTGAAGACACTGGGGTTTTATAAATTTAAAACTTTTTGAGGACCAATAGGCTTGTTAAAAAACGCAACCCTAGGCCTGCAGGCCCATCAAGTTTTTGGCGTCGTTGCCGGGGAGGTTTTTAGTCGCTGGAGGTCTAAAACTGGGAGGTTGAAGCCGCAGAAGACTATATATATGTCGAGTTTCTGCCAAAACAACATAGGAAGTAAACCAAACTCGTAAACACCCTAACTTTTTCTTTTTCTGCTTATTCTTTCTTCTGTTTGCCCTAGTTTCAGAATCCTTGAAGCATGGATCATCCGAGAAGAAACCATAATTCCGAGCGAAGGTTTTGCAACATGTGTGAAGCATGGAATATTTTGTCGAAAGAATAAAAAATTTGTTTGGCGATGAATACCTGAGAAGACTCACACCAGAGGATCTTCAGCGCTTACTTTATTTCGCAGAGCAACGCGGATTTTCCAGAATGGTAGGAAGCATCAACTGTATGCATTTGTAGTGGAAGAATTACCCTACCGCTTGGAAAGGGTAATATTCACGTGGTTCAAGAAAACCCACAATCGTTTTAGAGGCTGTAGCATCATATGACCTGTGGATACGACATGTGTTTTTTTGGACCTCCAGCTACTTTAAACGATATAAATGTTCTTGATCGCTCACCCGTTTTTGATGATATAATACAAAGTTAAGCTCCGCAATTGAATTTCTCCATCAACGGATGGAAGTATAATTTGGCATACTATCTGACATATGATATTTCTCCAAAATGGACAACTTTTGTCCAATGTATTCCACTTTCACAAGGCCCAAAGCATGTTTATTTGCAGAGCGTCAAGAAGCTGCTCGAAAAGATGTCTTTTGGAGTCTTGCAAGCTCGATTTGCCATAGTCAAAAATCTAGCTCTGTTTTGGGGTAAAGTAAAAATAGGAAAGATTATGAGAGCTTGTATCATACTTCACAATATGATAGTAGAAAACGAAAGAGATGAATACACACATTTTGATATTTCAGAATTCCAACCCGGAAAAAGAAGCGGAAGTTCAAATGTGGATCTCTCGTTTGAAACAAATATGCCTACAAATCTTGCTAATATGATAGGTGTGCGAACTAGAATTTGTGATAAACAACGACATCAACAATTGAAAGCCGATTTGGTTGAGCATATATGGGAAAAATTTGGACATGATTAAGATAACAACTGAAAAGTTAGGGCAAAATTTATGTTCTATTTTCTTTGATGTTTTTGTATTAACTATTTTTAATGACATACTTATCTTCTTTTATAATATATATATATATATATATTTATATATTTTAAAAAAACTCCATAGGAGTTCTAGTATTAGAAATAAGAGAGTCTTTTATTTGAGTCTCTAAACCTAGTTTAATATTTAAAAAAAAAATAAGAGACCCAAATAGGTTTTAACATGTTTAAGGAAATATGCTAAGATATATCAAGATATAAAGAATTCTTTCTTCAGGTTTCACGGGCTTTACGTCATGATTGGGCTTTGATGATCCAAAATACTTAGTCCAAAAGATACACATTTTAGTCCCCTACATGACAAAAGTGGTACGCTAAACGCAAAATCTGCACTCTGATCCCAAAGCAGAATATATCATGGGCATCATGTCAACGAGAACGGACAAAACAAAGTCAACAGACTCCTTTGGTATAAACTTCAATCTTGAAAATAGGGATAGAACTTTAGTTCGTCTTCGGCGTTGAAAAAGAGATTTTTAATATTATGTGGACGCAAACTTCTGCAACTCCACAAATAATCATCTTTGTATCATATAATCCATTAAATCGGATTTTTTGAAAATGACCTTAAAATATGAACGTTCCAATAGAGATTCTCTAATAGTAGAAAATAATCAGTTCCCGCAATAAGAAAATTTGAAAATCTTGAAAATTTCTAAAACAAATAACTAATGAGAAAATTACTTAGAATAACCTGTTTTTTACTTTTCTTGAAATGAATAGAATAACCTATGATATACCAAACCTACTAATCACTTTAAAATAATTATAAGTCCTAACTTACCCTTATTATTATCATTAATTATCATTATCATTAATTACTCTTTTTAATTCCTAATTCGTTTATAAATTATTTAAAGAAAATCTAATAATATTTCTTCAATAAAAAAAAATTTGGTATTTGATATATCTTTAATTTAAACCCTAAATTAAATATATTATTTGACACACTAATGTCGCCGACGTCTCTGTCCGTTTTATTCATTGTATTTTGGGTATCACCATTTCTCTATCATACTTTCTTTTCAAACGAAATCTTGTTGTCCTCAAATTCGCCTGGCTCTTCTTTGAAATTGAATCTAGGATCTGTCTTGCTTGTCTCCGGAATTCGTCTGTCTTTTTCTCCAAATTCGCCCGGCTTTTTTCCAAATTCAAATCTCTGCAAATATTCGACAGTTGCAGAGATTACATTGAAAGGCATTTTGTTAGTTTGCAGAGATTATATTCGACAGTTTGTAACTTTTACTTGTAGTTTATTTTTGATTTAGATATTCGACAGATTATATTTGCAGAGATTTTTTGATTTACTTTTACTTGTAGTTTATTTGTGGTCAATTACATTTATAAGTTTATTTTTTTTTATTTAGATATTCTACGCTGACTTTTATAGTACTTGGTCAACGATTCAATGTTTGTTTGATTAAAGTTAGTAGAATATGTTTATAAGTTTTTTTTCTTTTGGTAAGTTTTTGTCTGATTTAGATGAGTGTGGCTAAGCAAAGACATAAGTTTTTTTCTTTTGGTAATTAATTTCTTTTGGTATTCTGAACCATTGCTCTTTATGAATTTTATTAGTGTTGTTTTGTTAATTTTTGATAATCTTTTGCTAATATTGGTTGGTGGCTTGATATTGAGTGCTGAATTTAATAATTTCTGATTCCTTTTTTTTTGCAGAATGTCGACTAACAAAAACTCAACAAAAGACATGCTAGGTGGGTAGAATTCATTGAGACATTTCCGTATGTTATTAAGTACAAGCAAGGTAAGGATAATATAATTGCTGATGCATTGTCTCGGAGGTATGTGTTACTCTCAACTCTTGATGCTAAACTTTTAGGTTTTGAACAGTTCAAACAAATGTATGCATCTGATTCTGATTTCAAGGAGTTATATCAATCTTTTGAAAAATTTTGCCAAGGATCATTACTTTAGACAAGACGGATTTTTCTTTTATTACAACTGCTTGTGTGTGCCTAAGTGTTATATTCGAGACTTATTAGTCAGAGAAGCTCACGGAGGAGGACTCATGAGGCATTTTGGCATAGCTAAGACTCTTAAGGTGATGCAAGACCACTTTCACTGGCCACATATGAAGAGAGATGTGGAGAAAATATGCCAAAGATGTGTCACTTATAAGCAAGCAAAGTCTAAGGTTCAGCCTCACGGTTTGTACACTCCTCTACCTATTCCCAATCACCATTGGACAGATATCTCTATGGATTTTGTTCTTGGTTTGCCTAGGATTAGGTCAGGTAAGGATTCTATCTTTGTTGTGGTTGATAGATTCTCTAAGACGGCGCATTTCATAGCTTGTAAAAAACCCGATGATGCATCACATGTCGCTCATTTGTTCTTTAAAGAGGTTGTTCGTTTGCATAGCATGCCTAGAACTATTGAGTCTCATAGAGATTCCAAGTTCCTCAGTTTCTTTTGGAAAATTTTATGGTCTAAATTATGAACTAGGTTGTTAGAGCATGTACATTAGACAAACCCTCCTTGGGATTCTTAGAAATATTAATTTTTTTTTATGTATGAATAGTGAAGCCTGCCACCTGTCCGGAGAGAGAATGTGTCTTCATTTTTTTAAGCAATCACCAATAGAAGTCTGCCACCTGTCTTAAGAACCTCCCAAAGATCAGTTCTTAAAATCCTTATGCAAGGTTCATCCTTAGGTATTTGGGTTTTTTTTTTAATTATTTAAATCCTAAGAACCCGACTCTAAACCCCTTAAAATCCTTAATGGACCTGGTCTTATTCTCTACCACATGTCATTCACAGATTGATGGGCAAACTGAAGTAGTTAATCGAATCTTGTCTACATTGTTACGTGCATTGATTAGGAAAAATCTTAAGACATGGGAAGATTGTTTGCCGCATGTTGAATTTGGATATAATCATTCTTGTCACTCTGCTTCTAAGTTTTTTCCGTTTCAAATAGTTTATGGTTTCAATCCTTTGTCACCTTTGGATCTAACACCTTTGCCTTTGAGTGAAAGAACAAGTCTAGATGGAAAGAAAAAGACTGAGTTGGTGAAACAGATTCATGAGAAAGCTAAGGCAAACATCGAGGAGAAAACACAACAATATGTTAAGAAAGCCAACAAAGGCCGCGGTAAGATGATCTTTGAGATTGGAGATCTTGTGAGGGTACATCTGAGGAAAGAAAGGTTTTCAGAATTCAATTGAATTCTGATGGTTCGGTGGAACGATAGAAGGCAAGTTTGGTCGTTCTTTAGAATAATCAAACTGAAGGGGTTGATTACTATGAGACCTTTGGGCCGGTTGCTAAGATGGTAACAGTTCGTACTTTTCTTAACCAAGCAATCTCTCTTGATTGGAAAGTGAATCAAATGGATGTGCATAATGCATTTTTACACGGAGATCTTGATGAAGAGGTATACATGCGTTTTCCTCGTGGGTTCCGGACGAATGACAAAACGAAAGTTTATCGTTTGAGGAAATTGCTGTATGATTTAATAACATCGTATTTTGACCATTTTTATGGATTGTTTTGAAATAATTTTTCTATTTTTTCTATTGCTTTCAAATGTTTTAATCATGTTTTTCTAGAACTTGTAGTTTCAAGACTCTGTTCAGGAAACTTAGGCAAAAGCTTAACAAAATAGATACAAGACAAGATTTTCAGCTCATAGTCAAACCCTTAGAAGTTCACACTCAAATGAAGACTTTCTCACCGTCTGATCCAGCTCAAATTTAGAGACCTTAAGGATGGAACTACCAGCTTTCCAGCACACTTTACAGCATGGCAAACCAACGGTTCAATCAAAAGTTACACGAATAGCAAGATATCCCGTAAACCAGCCGGCAAGCATTCCTACTCGCGACCAACACCCAATTCGCACCGATCCCATCCTTCCTGACCGCGGAGATTGGTCTGTCCGGCCTAGAAGCCTATTTTCAAGCCCAAGTCGATTCGCTCATTTAAGAAAACCCTAAGTGACGCCTAGAAATGACTTGAACACCATAAATACATGTTTTAGGAACCCTAGTTGATATGCAACCTCTCTTTTATCAGCTTTTAAGTTTTTTGTCTTTCATTTTCTTAGTTTTAGGTCTAGGGAGATAGAGATCTATCTCTTGAACCTTTTTTGTTCAATTACCATATCGATTTCAATACAGCTTTTCAATACAATGTTTTTGCTTTCTTTAATCATTTTTGAGTGGTTTTATTGTTGGGTTTAAGGGATTTTCGATGGGGCCTATACATGTTTGATGAGGATTCCATTAGCTACTGAATCCGAATTCTAGAAATTTTTCTTAACAACTTATTTTTAATGCATGAGAGTAGCGTCATGAACTACAATCTGATCTATGTCTTTGGTGTTGCGAAAGTATTCATCCAGGGAAAGATCTAGTTTGAGAAGAGCAGATCAACCATAGGAGTGGAAACCTACATATGGGCGAACTGTGAATGTTGACGAGTCTTAAGCAAGCTTGCATCTTTTCCCTTCCAGGGCCAGAGTGGAAACTACTCGTCAGGGTTGCGAGAGATAGTTGGTTATGATCATGACAATGGCATATTCATACGTTCGTGACTCGAGTTCTAAAAGTTTTAGCTAGGATATTTTAATTTACCTTTTAGCAATGTTTTGAATCGTTCATCCCCGGAGAGAATTTCCCTGAAAACCCAGCATCTCAATTCTATAAGTTTTCCAATAATTTTATTTAAGTTTTTAGGTCTAGTATTTTCTTATTCTAGCCGATTTTATTCAAGCAATTTAGGGCTAGTTGTTTTCCTTGTTTTTAGTCGATTTTATTAGGTTTGATTATTATGTCATTTTGATTTCTGTATTTTCCTGTTTAGTTTAGTTTTTACGTCTTAAAGACACCACCAAAACCCCTTTAAAATATCGTCTGGTTCTAGACTTTCTTACTTTATATTTCTTTCGAAAACTTTGGAGGAAAGAACTTTCTTCCCTGTGGATTCGATCTCTAAGTACTACAATCGATCAGCTGTGCACTTACGGCTTATTGATTTCATTAGGGTAAAACTTGACACCCTCACCGCTCACGCATCAAGTTTTTGGCGCCATTGCCGGGGAAGGCACGCATTTCCTTTTCTACAAAACCCTAAGAAAGGTTGGTAACTCGACTCTAGAACCCTTTTTCAACTTATTTTTGTTTTTGGTTCTCTTTGTTTCATTCTCGAAGCAATGAACCCTATAAATCAAAATTCCTACTACGACGGAGGTTTTTACAACACTCCTCAAGCCAACAGACGCAGAGAAGAGCAATACAATACACCACCTATTCATCGCCTACCTCACCAAATCCTCCAGCAGGATGAGAACGCCCAGATCAGTAATCGATTGGAGCAGCCTGAAGCCACGATCAAGCAGAACATGGAGGCTTAAGCCACTGCTATAGCCGTTCTTCACAAAAGGATCAATGGCATATCAAAGATTTTCAACAAAAAGATTGACGACCTTGCTTCCCAGGTCAAATCAATAAAGGAACGAGCGACAAAAGATGCAGCCATGATCACTAATAGATTCAACAGTATGGAGGAAGAGCAAGCAAAGCACACTCAGGACCTTCGCAATGCTAAGAACAAGATCATGGACCTAGATTTCAAACTCGACGATGTAGACAATGCCCTCAACGAAGCCATGAACGAGTCTTATGACTTCACGGTTAAAGTTTCAGAGAAAGTATACAAAGTTATGGACGAAACCGAAGAGCTTGACTCAACAATAGATAAGGTTGTTTATGCTCTCGATGAACTTGAAAAAAACGTTGAGGAGATCTTGCAAGGACTTGAAGAACATATTTCAGCACCCCACATTAAAGATCTAGGCCCCTAGAGGAAGCATACTGAACCAGAAAACCCAGAAGATCATTCAGGAAGCAAAAGAGCAAGCTGTATTCCAGCAACTCACCTCGGAGACACTCCCGCGGTCGTGTCCCCTGTGACCACGGCCAATAGGCATCCTACGGCGGTCGTTCTTGGTCTACCTGCGGCCCACAGTCGATTCCCCGCGGTCGCATCTCCTGCAGTCATGGCGAGCAGTCAGAATATCCCAAAACAGCCTTATCCGACTCATACAAGTAGCTGTTCGTCTGATACACCTTCTGGAGTAGCTAAACCCCTCTTTCAGAAACAGATTTACTATATCAGCACTCAGGAATCTGAAGAAGAAGACAAGCCATTACCCTGCAACATGGCTTTTTCTTGTGAAGATGAGTATGAAGAGAAATACTCTGAAGATGAAGAGTATGGCTTGTTCGTAGAGGACCCAGACGCAGGATACTCATCAGGAAGCAGTACACCAGGAGTTGAATGGATCACCAACAACATCAGTAGGGAGAATCTCATAGAGTTCAATAACTTCGTCAAGGCACTCCCTGCTCATCTAAGCTTCGATGATGTCTGGAAGCTTTGTTGCTTGCAAGTATTTTTCAGATACTGCAAGGAGTACAAGGAGGACATCCACAAGTACTTTATGGGAGCCCAATACCTGAAATCACCAGAAGCAGCTGTCTATACAATTCACCTCCAAAGAGCTGAAAAATGCAGCTACTACACGAACACGATTAGCAAGGAGAAGCTTGATGATTTCAATTATGTAGTTCGAAGCTTACCTGAAGAAATCACATTGGCAAGAACTTGCAAAGACTTCATGATCGGTCACTACTTCTGTGAGAGCAAGGAATCAATTCCTGAAATAGAAGACTTATTCAATCATGCCAGAAGAGGTAGACCTGTTTGAACACTTCACAAAATCAAAGGTCAATGGTCAGTTTCTCGTCTCTTGTTTGATTAGAGGTGAAATGTTTAACAATGTGCTTTGTGATTCTGGCGCTTGTCTCAACATGATGTCCAAGGCAACTGCCTTGAGACTTGGTATTAACCACCTGCGCAGGACCAGAACGAAGATAAGCCTAGC